GCCGAATGTCCAATCAATGTCTGCCACAAAAATGTCGGATCAGATCCTGGGCACAATACCCAATGTAACCTCTGCCAGTAACCTCTCTCTCTCTCCTGTCTCTTATACACATCTAGATGTGTATAAGAGACACCTTCCACAACCCCCAATTTACTTTTTTATTGCAGATTCGGGGTCCTCTAGTGCAGTGCAGCACAGCCCCTGTCTCTTATACACATCTAGATGTGTATAAGAGACAGCCCCCACCCCCCCCCCCACCCAACCCCCAATTTACTTTTTTATTGCAGATTCGGGGTCCTCTAGTGCAGCGCAGCACAGCCCCACCTTCGGAAAAAAAAAAAAAAAAATCCTTGCCATGTTTTTGCGTCGCACCTGTCTCTTATACACATCTAGATGTGTATAAGAGACAGGTCCTCTAGTGCAGCGCAGCACAGCCCTACCTTCGGGGGAAAAAAAATAAAATAAAATTCCTTGCCATGTTTTTGCGTCGCCTGGTTCAGCCGGGCGGACCCCCCCGGGCCCAACCGGCCGGGGTCCGCCCGGCCTTTTTCTTTTTTTATTTTTATTTTTAGCCCAGGGTGTTGTAGAGGCCAAGGCCCTGACTTGCGGTGATTGCTGGCAGCGGCAGCCAATGGTTGTCCTGACAGGATAGGCCACCTACCCTACCCATCCCCACCTTAATACGCCCAGCGCACCCCCTGTCCCTACTATCCTACCTCAGTCAACGTCACTTTTCAATAGCAAATTGAGCTGATCACCATCCTTTTTTTTTTTTTTTAACAAATGCTCCAGTCTATTCGTGGGGAGCAGCACGTGCTAGGAACTGGGCCCAGCGTCCCATATACAGTTATACAAGTTCATTACCTGGCTTCAGCTAAGAACCTATCTGATAACTATTGAGGGAATTCAAGAAAAATAAAGAAGAGGTTGGAAAACTATGAATGACTTCTTTTCGAATGCTCAGAACCCCTAGACTCCCAAACAAAACTCTCTAAAACTGTCCAAGTTAAGTCCAACACTGTCTTATTCCTTGTCGAGCTCTCCCAGGCCCCACACCCCCACCCGGCTAGGTTACAGAGCAACACAGCTCGCTCCTGCTCCGGCCAGCGTCGTCCCAACAGCAACCCTTGGTTGTCCCTTGGAATGCCCACCCCAAAGCATCCCCAGATCTCTCTACCAGGCCTCACGCTC